ATTTAGATAGCAGTTGTTACTTGCATTGATTGCTATTATGGACTATCGGATGCAGAGGCAAGGTAAGCTTTGATCTTTTGAATCTTTTCAAATTCGATTTGAAAGAAAAACTTTTCGCATTTCTTAGAAACCCTGAGGGGGTCCAATTTAGACCAGGTTATTCCAAAAAGCAATATAGGCAACAAGGCATTAAGCTAGCTCCTTCAAAATTGTTCATCATCCAATATTATTATCCATTATTCTAATTTCTCAAACAAATATCCAGAAGGTTGCGAATCATTGCATCTAAAGCTTCTAATCCTGAAAGTATTCCGAATGATTGTTGTTATTTTCAGGGGCTACAGAGAGTACAATGTGACCACTTACCTAGCCGATCGAGGGATCACCATCTTAGGAAACCTTGAAATGTCCAAATACTGGAATGCCTCATTTCTGGCTGATTCTGTCGACAATCTCAGCAAAATATGTCGAGGTATGAACATCAAATTTGCCAAATTTTTCTATTCTAAATTCTGTACACTTTAGTGATTCTGCCTCTGTTGGGTAATCAACTATCTGACTATGTATTATTTCTTGATGCAATGAATACAACGGGACATTTGACTCCTGAGTATAGCATACTTATTGTATTCTGGGATTATCAGGTGTGGAGAATAAGAGATGCTAAATGCATGGATAATCTCTCTGTTTATTTGCTATGACTTATATGCAAGTCGTCTTGGCCGAGAAACTCTTTGAAATTGCAAAAAAAAACATAATGAGCATGGATCCGAAAAAATGTGTGAGGAAATGAATTGCGCTTTGCTTGAGGAGGAGTAAAATTTCGGAAGTCACCATAAAATTCGATATTAGTTTTCGGGACAGTAAATAATTTCAGAGCACAGAGTTTTAGAGTGCACAATTTCTGGTAAAAATTTGCAACATCAAAAGGTGTAAAATTGTTGAGAGAAATTTTAAGGTGTTTTCCTGAAAGTAACCATCAATTTTGCATCTAGAAAATTTTGAACTCAAGATAACTTCTAAGCTAATGCTTATTTATAAATGTCGGTTCTGACTGGTTTTTTATTTATCATAAGTCAAAAACTTTTACCGTTCAGCTCGCAGCTCGTTCATTTCCCTGGGAAAGCAAACCAGCTCTTCTCCCTCTTTTCAATCGAA